CAAAATATCTCAAGGCTGAAATTTTTCAAAGCACTCAATATATATTTTGATTATTCATGAAGGCAGTGTAGATCTTCATAGAACTCTCAGCATATATGCATCAATAGCTAAATACATTCACCAGTGACATATGCCTGGCACACAATCCGAGACCAACATAATGTTATTATTCATTTCTTCCTTGTAAAGAGAACTGGCTTTCAGTGTAGGCTTTGAAGTGTCAATGCTTCACAGATAGTGATAATTTCCTCAAATGCTCTCTACCCTTGGAGAATCCTGATCAGACCATTCACACATTTGAAACACCAGAGCCTCAACAATGCTGCAAACAGCAACATTAATTGCAAAAAGCCTTTCACATATTTACTTTCTTTTCTTGGCCAAGTGTGTAACAATGCTGATAGCACACTATGTATTCCTTTTATTGTAGGCATGCAAAACTCTGGCAGAACATTAAGCACCTGTTTAAATGTTGATTGGAACAATGCATGCCCCAACAGTACCTTATGGGTTATCATTGACATTATGCAATTCATAGGCTTTTTCTGGCCTTCACCATAGGCAAGTATTTTCCTAGATACCAATAATCTATGGAGATTGGGAACCGGAGGCTCTATCAATTAGGATGCCAGCTAGCATATTAGCTAATTCATTTTTAAGGGAATCACAGTTGTAACAGGACAGAAATGTGGCCAAATTATACCAGCATGACTAACTCTCCTAATTGAGATGATTTGAAATGCTAGTCTTGTAAATTGATTCATTGTTCCTTCACAGATACCATTTTGATTTCCTTTTGAAAGCCTCAAATTGAGGTAGTTCCCACCACACAAGCAGTGCATTCCACACCTCAAAACACTTGAGAGCCTAGTTTCAGTTTTGCATATTTTGCTAGTTTATTGAAATCTGTGTTCTTTCCCCTTGAAGATTTCACAAGTGGGAACTAATGCTCCCAATTTACTCAGCCAAAATCATGAGGACCATCTCTACCAGATCTTCTCGTGTCTCCTCTGGAGGTGCCAGCATCACAATACACTTTTCAGCCAATACAATTCACTCCATGATAAAGAAACATTGAAGTGACAATAGAGTTCGGACAATAAATACCAAAGATTTGCAGTCCAGAACTAGCCATGCCTTTAAGCAAGCTGTTCCAGTACAGCTAGAATGCTGGCATCTGCTGAGCCATGAGGAAAATTGCCCAAGTACACAAAGCAAATTCAAACCAGCCAGTTACAAGCTCAGTGTTTAAAAAAAAAAGTCAGAACTAACAAGCAGTCACTTACCCGTAACTTATTCACCAGCACCCCATTTGGGTTTTTGAGCCACTCAGCTCCTGACTTCATGACAGCCTTGGGCCAAACATAGCCAAATTCCAGTGTGATGAGATGAGTGACTACCCTTGACATTAATGGCAGCATTTGACTAGACAGGGCATCAAGGCAGCCTGGTGTGAGGGGGGATTGACGAACACCAGGGAAAACTCTGGTGGTCAGAGTTAGACCTAGCACAAAATGAGGAAGATAGTTGCTATTGGAGTTCAGTCATCTCAGGAGATGTTCCACAGGGTAATAGTTTCTAAATTAACAGCAATTATATTCCACAATTCTGGAGGAGGTGGCACCTGAACCCAGGCCTCCTAGCCTAGTGATGGGGATACTACAGGACTAGAAAAGCCCTACATTCCACAAGGTCACATTCTAGATCCAAGCATCTTCAGCTGCTTTAATGAACTGAATGATCAATGTTCTGCACCATGTGCCACTCATCGGACAGTAAAACAGTCCATGTCCAATACCCAGACTGGGGCTGACAACTAGCAAGGAATAGTAATGCCACAAGTGTCGGACAATGACGATCTCCAGAAATAGAGAACCTAACCATCATCCTTGACATTCAAAGTCATTACCATAATTAATTCCCAGCTATCAACATCCTGGGTATTACATTGACCAGAAGCTGAATTGGATTAGTCATACAAATACTGTGGCCACAAGGACATGTCAAAGGCAAGTGGTGAGTAGATCACCACCCAACTCCCCAGAAGTCGGCTTGTCAGCCACACAAAGTGTAGGCCAGGAGTGCGATTGAATACTTCCCATTTGCATGGATGAGTCCAGTTCCAGCAAAACAAGAAACTGACACCATCCAGGACAAAGCAAGCCACTTTGAATGATTGTGGCTCATTTTTTTTTTCCCTTTTATTCATTCACAGGATGAGAACGTTGCTGACCAGGCAGCATTTATTGCCCATCCCTAATTGCCAGAGGGCAGTTAAGAGTCAGCCACATTGCTGTGGGTCTGGAATCGGATGTAGGCCAGACCAGGTAAGGATAGCAATTTCCTTCCCTAAAAAGGACACTAGTGAACCAGGTGGGTTTTTCCCAACAGTTGGTAATGGATTCGCAGTCATCATTAGACTCTTAATTCCAGATATTTATTGAATTCAAATTCCACCATCTGCTGTGGCAGGATTTGAACCCAAGTCCCCAAAACATTATCTAGGTCTCTGGATTAACAGTCCAGCAACAATACCCCTAGGCCATAGCCTCCCAGTTTTGCCTCATGCCTAAACTAATTCATCACCAGTGCACAGTAGCAGTGTACACTGTCTACAAGATGCACTACAAAAAAGTTTACCAAGGCTCGTTAGGCAGCACCTTCTAAACGCCACCTCTATTTAGAGGGACAAAGTCAGCAGATACATGCTGCTACCTGCTGGTTCCCCTTCAAGCCATTCATCATCCTGACTTGGAAGTGTATTACAATTCCTTCAGTGTCATTGGGTCAATAAACTGGAATTCCCTTCTTAACACTTGTTGGGGGGGGGGGGGGGGGGGGGGGGGAACAGAAGGGGAGAAAGGAGAGAAAAGAGAACCTACACCAGATGGACTTCAGCAGTTCACAGCAATTATCTTGAAGGCTCTCCATCGCAATAAACAATGGTCCCACCAAAGCCCACATCCCCACCACTGTTCCCAGCCTCCAACTGAGGTCCTTCTTTAAAAAGTCACACTGTAGGAGTTATTTCACAGCTGAAGCTCCTCACACCTGAAAGCATCTTATTTGAAACCACGGAGTTACTCCATAAATGAGTAGAGCAGCACCAATCCAGCGGTGAAATCTCACCCACAGGAATTCTGGTTAGTGGGCACTCTGACCCGATTCCCATCTCCCAGCCAGCCGGACAGAACCACTGGAGGAGCCCTTCTCTGGGGAGATACTGTCGATCTGATTTCTAGGAAAGGTACGTCCCGAGCTTCCCTGGCCTGTGGAGAGGCACAAACCTGCCAAGTGGCATTTCTTATTTTAAATCCAAAATCATTTGTGCGTGCTTATGCGATGCATAATTACATTACTTAATTTAAAAAAAGGGGCGGCATACGAAAGTCACCGAGGCATGCGACGAATTACAGATACAGCCCATTGCCTGCAACAGGCATTGGCCGGTCGAGGGCGCGCACAACAACCCGGGACTCCGCATTAAACTCAAGTCAGTACGGGAGGCGCGCTTCCCATAGACAGGTGCTGGGACAGAGCAACGCTGCTTCCCGAAAGAAGGCGAGAAACATTCCAAGCACTATTCAAACTGTATGGCATTTCAGAGGGCGAGTGCACGCATCTTGCCGATTTAAAAACAAAATAAACATCTTTGGTAGGTGTTTAAGCTGTCCACTTCCCATCATCAGTCTGAGGAAGCCCCAGCAGATTCCGTCGCAGTGTGTGTTTTGTTTTAAGAAGTGACTACATTCCCCTAGCGACATTGATGAAACATAACAAGGAGGCAGGAGAACAAGGCTAAAGAAAGCAGCATGTGGTAGGGATTACGTGGTGGTCGTGGTCAGGCTTCATTAAAGAGAACAAGCCGAAACACGGGCTCTTAAAATCCTTGAACAACATCAGAAATTGCTGGAAAAGCTCAGCAAGTTTGGCAGCATCTGTGGAGAGAAATCAGTGTTAACATTTCGGGTCCGGTGACCTTTCCTATCAGGCGTCAACTCCGATTTCTCTCCGCAGATGCTGCCAAACCTGCTGGGCTTTTCCTGCAACTTATTTTTCTTCCTGACTTACAGCATCTGCAGTTCTTTCCTTTTCTATTAAAATCCTTGGAGGTTTACTTCCCCCCCACCCCCCAACCTAAAAAAAAGGTGGGAAGAGCAGATGGGAGGGAGCTGGAGGAGTCTTTAAAAGGGGTAGCTCTGCTGGCGACGTGTGCGTTGCGCTCAGGCTGTAGTGAGCACTGGGAGGGTGAAGGTAATGCTTTCACTACACGGCCAGCTCGGACAGACAGAGAGAGACGGGGGGGTAGGGGTGGCGCTAGTGGCGGTCAGCCCCCTTCCAGGCCGGTCCCCGGTGCAGTCTGGCGCCCGGACTCCCCTCAGCGCTCCAGAGAGCGGCTCCTGCACTGCGGTACCCGGCACATGGAGCACGGCAATACACCACACCGAGACACATTGGGTCCGACCCCGGTCTCAGGAGGAGACTGGCTGATATTTCACCCACCACCCGGCTCAGCTCTAGTCCCTCCACAGCAGCTACAGATTCCATCCCCCCATCCCAAAAAACATACAGCCCTACACATGCCATTACAGTTCACTACACTATCCCCATGTTACAGTCACACACCCCCATGGCCATTACAGCTGCCCCCCACCTCCCCATGTTACACAGTCACACACACACACACCCCACCTATGGCCATTACAACTGCCCCCC